AGAGAGAGAGAGAGAGAGAGAGAGAGAGAGAGAGAGAGAGCGCGCGTACTAAAACCGGGCATATTCTCAGAACTATTAAGTTTGCTACTAATACAAGTTTTCTATTGCCTTTGGTGAAACAGAACAGAAAAGAGACAGAAGGAGAGATCAGTTTGTCAGAAGTAAATGGACAAAATGCGGTTTTATGACTTGGAACTGATGCTGTAATGGAGACACTGGTCTGTCGGTAATATTTGGACAGAATAAATATTTAGGACTGTTGAAATAGACTCTGTAACAGAGAGACCGGTCTGTCTGTAATAAATGGACAGAATAAGTTCTTAGGATTGTTGAAATCATCTCTGTAATGGAGAGACCGATCTGTCGGTTATAAATGGATGTAAGAAGTCTACGTATATGTAGGATGACAAAGTGTCAGTAAGCTCATTTTAGATAGCATATATAACTACGACTGTTGACAGTTTCAAATGCGAAAACTGATCACGATTTTTTATTTTTTTACCTTAATTTAAGACATATTTAGTATGGTGAGTTCGTATAATACTTTTGGCGTACGGGTAGGTTTGGTACTACCTTCTTCCATTCGATACGGTATCCCTAATACCACAGCTAACACTTACCTTGCTCACCGCAATCAGCACACTGGTTGTTACCGTCCACTTGCAGTAATTTTGCTATACGGACAGCAGCAAATTCCCTTTCTTTGGTAGCCTGATGAAAAATTGGTAAAAATGGTTAAGTGTATACGTATCGGTAGTATTGAAACAAATATTGCCCTAACAAATACATGTTAAATTGAATTGCAATGTTTACTTAATCACCCAGAGAGAATGAAATTAACACTTTTATTTCAATAATCAATTGACTATGTTTTAAACCTATATTCAACAACAATAAAGGAAATTATTTAGCCTTGATTTGGGAAAACAACTAACGTAATTATATTGAGTCGATATCCAGATGTTCATTATGCTATATAAAATATAAAAAACAATTATCCTAGCATGAACACATTGCTTGGTGTATAGAACTTTTTTGAAATCTTAATAAATATGTAGCAGCGGGATTTTATTTTGAATCGTGTCGAGCGTCTATACCGAAGTGTTGTTTCTTTACTAACATATGATTGTGAGGTAACGTGTTACAAATGAAGATGAAATAATCTGTTAACAGTGATAGTGGATTAAACTATCACTGTCCAAATGTAATATCATCAATGAGTATACATAACTAATATATAACGTTTTGAGCCTGACCTGTGGTATCCTTACAAATACCTTTCCGGACGAGCTGGTTTCTCCTCCATTCGTTGTTGGGGTTCTGATGGAATCATCTGCTACATTTGTAGACATGTACTTCCTAAGCTGGTATATGTCTATTAAAAACGACTTCCGGTCAGCTCTGTATATTTATTAAGGAGCTGTTCCTTGTTTCCACACCAACTTGGAAATTTTATAAATATTGATCAGGGGCTGTGATAATTGTCCAAAACTCCATGTTTAGATCGTGATTTTCAGAGTTATGGTTTGATATTTTCTACGAACTAGTACCCAATTTTACCGAACCGTAGCTGGCTATCTCTGACCTTTTTAAAAGTAAGTCACATATATTCCGACTCTTGGTGATAATAAGCTATGGAAGTTCCAAACGCTGTAAATAGACATTGTCAAAAGCGAACCATACCATACCCTGTCGATAGCCTACCACTCCAGTACAAAAGCTTACTGATAATAACTCATACATACACAACACCCTGTCGACAATATCAAACCCTGTTGATAAACAACCATGTCGATATCAACCATTCTTTATACCTACATAATACATCTCTATATTATCCGAGACTACGCTAGTCGCGGCGCACGAGACCAAACATACATATGGTCATCATTTTAGGTGAATACTCATTGTCTTGTGGTCGTTCAAAATCTTCAGGAAGATTAGCCTCATATACTGCGTTTGCTTTGATGTTTCCCATCTGCTCCATATTCTACAATACATTAAATATGTTTTTACATTACTTCTTTACTAATTACCATGTTCGATCATTTTACTAATATATCAATGTTCGTTCAATAGTAAGATTACACATTTACAATACAAATATTTCTTGAATGTCATAGTTGTATAATTCAAACCCCATAGTGTCGGTTATAGTAAACTCGAAGATCACACATAATTTAATAATACCAGCGGCACATATTTCAAGTTCTCAATTTTGCATATAAACGAACAGGAACTTTTTAACTTACGGCAACCTGTTCTTCGGTCCACGCGTCCAGATGCACGGATCTTATTTTGCTGATGTGAGTGCCCAAGTGGTTTCTGTGTAGCCCTGCGCATTGCAAGCAAATGAACACGCCCAGGTTCCAGGAGGCCCACTTTGGTGCTTTAAAGTTAAAATGATCGTGAGATAATCCAAAAGTTGTCAGGGTAAAAAGGAATAAAACATACGAAAAGGTAACAAGTAACAGCTATAGTGGTGAATTCGAAAAATTCGAATAGGATAAATGTATAGGTCTGCTGAAATAGTGTCAGTGAGCCC